TACCCGACCGGGTATTATGACCGGGGATCGCGAACGCAGGCTGTTAAAAGCCTGTTTTGTGCTTTTTTGCAGGGGAGAGCTGGATTTTTGGTTCCCAAACACCCAAGGGACGAACCCTAGAGAGAGAGAGAGCGACTTGGGAACATTCTTGGAGCTATTTTGGAGGATTTCTTCGCCATTGGAGCTCGGGAATCAAGCTTGGAGATGGAGATTGAAGATCTAGATCAGATTTATGTAGTCTCTCTCTTCTCTATGGAGTAACTTCCCTTCACTTAGGTTTTGAGGAACCCTAGTTCCATGTGTTAGGATCTTTCTTGTATGAAGTTTTGGATGCTATATTGTTTGATTATAATCGATTGAGGCATGATTTATTGAGTCAATTAAATCTTGATCAAATTCTCTTGATTTCTGCTTTAACCTATGATAGATAGAATCTGATTAGGTTAAGAGAGCTTCCTTGATTGATGGTGGTGAATTGGTTATACGAGAGTTAGTCAATCTACTGCTTTGTACTGGAATCCAATTCCGGTAGTGGAGTTCTGTGTTCATAGCCTCAGCTTTCTATCCCGGTGAAGGTTAGTCGCCTGCCGGGTAGTTGGACTGAGAGGGCTTGGTCAGCTTAAGAGATTCCAAGCTACTGTCGGATCTTCCGCAGTTTAATCAACAGTAGATCAACCAAAGGTAATTGCAACTTGGACCTAATTGAGGAGCTAGGGGGAATCATACATAAGTGAGTTCACAACTTGTAATTAGTAGAGTAGTCAGTAGAGTAGTTTATAAATCAAAACTTAATCTAGTTTGCTAGATAATGAACTGAAGCTGAGTAATAGTAACTCTAGAGACCCGTGGATTCTATATTTATTACTTGTGCCACTATACTGCAGTTCCTTTCATTGGTTACACTTGGCCATTGTTAGGTGTTGTATTTTAGCGTGTCAATAGACCCGCACCCACCTCTCGATCAATTTATATTATTTTCATTTCTCCATTCCATTTTTGCTCTATATCCATTTTTTGTTCCCTCCAGATTTACTTTTCTCCCTCCCTGCTAGGAGTGAGAATTTGGTCTTGGTTTCTTGGTCAAACAGGAAGTGAGATTGTTTATTCATTTTGAAATCATTTTCTGAACTTATGTACTTTATAATTATTTAATAAATTTTATTTTTTATAAATTTATTGAGAAAATAATTAGGGGCAACATGTTAAATTTTCGAACAGGGCCTCCAAATATCATGGGATCGGCTCTGGGTATAATATACTTTTTTACATCAAATATGTTAATATACTTTGGAAAATTATCAAACAACACCATTTTGCTAAAATTTACATCCAAAAATAGTCAACCACAGTTGAACTGAGATTCAGACAACCCGACATTGGCAAAATGGGAGGAAAAATGTCAGTTTTCCCCTTCGTTTATTTATCTATGTATTGTTAAATTGAAACTATTAAATGTATTGAGCTATACAAAAGAAACAAAAGAATTCTAAAGTGCAATTATTATGAATATTTTAGACATTTTTTGTCGTCCAAACCAAGGTTCGATCGTGGTTGGCGATTTTTTTATGAAAATTTTGTAAAATAAAACATGTTTTCATGTAAAAAAAGTAATGAGGCAGGTTTAACAAAATTGTATAATATATGTAACCTTTTTTCAATAAGAAAACCAGGACTAATGGTCATTTTTCAGCACCTTCATGCTCCTCTGTTTCCAGAAATTTTGGAAATTTTTAATATCCTTAATAAATATCCCTTTGTTGTCATTTTGTTGTCCCCTCTTTAGTAATATATAATTGATCCTATTTACCGTCTTTCATTTACAATTTACCCTACTATTTACCAAACCTTGGAATGTTCTTCAAATGACATAGCCTTATTGATATCCCCTTATAAATAGCTAACTTCTTATTGCTATTAGGCAGCAAGAGAAAGGCAATTGGTGTCTTTCTCTTCCTCAAAACTGCCTTCTTGAGAACATAAGTACTCCTATATAGGCCTTACAGCCATGGCCACTTCTCCTTTGAGTTCCTCATTGCTCCTTACTATTGTGATCTTGTTACTTGGACAAGGTGGTGTGCATAAGATTGAAGCTTCCCATGAGGTATACAAAGGCTACCAAAGTCTTGAAACAATACCTCCCAAATTCCAGCCATATCGAACGGGCTTCCACTTTCAACCTCCAAGGAACTGGATTAACGGTGAGAAGTTTCACATATCCTTTGATTTCTCGCAAAGATATCTCCAATTCTAATACAAGAAATAATAGTTTTTGTTCCGAAATCCTTTGCTTTATGGTACAAAATATTTATTCTTGAATCATTTTATTTCCATTGTGTTACAAAGTTATCTCGTACTTCTGCTAACATTGGTGTTTTTTTTTTCTTTCCTTGCTCATGGCCACTTTGGCCATATTGGATGATCAACTCTGGATTTCCTGCATATGGTTGAAGATCCTAATGGTGAGTTTAAGAAAATCAATGTAATATTTTTGATTGATAACACTACCAAGGGTTTACATGAGAATATAATATGAAACTAGAGTTTCACTATAACTCTAAACTCTAATAGTGACCATTTGTGGATAATAACTAGAAGGCAATAACCCATGCTTATAGAATCCATATAATTTCCCTAAATTTATTAATTAAAAACTCAAATTATTTTTCTAGGAATAATGAATACTTATACATAATTTTTTTATAATAATACTTATACATAATTACTAATACACTCTCAACGTTTTGCAGGACCAATGGTTTACAAAGGAATCTACCACTTGTTCTACCAATACAACCCAAAAGGTTCGGTTTGGGGCAACATTGTTTGGGCCCATGCAACCTCCAAAGATCTGGTCAACTGGGAACTCCAACCGGTTGCACTCTCCGCAGCCGAACCAAACATGGACATCAACGGCGCTTGGTCTGGTTCGGCCACAATCCTTCCCGGTGGCAAACCGGTCATTCTCTACACAGGAGTCAACTCAAAGAACCAACAAGTCCAAAACGTAGCCGTACCCAAAAACACATCCGACCCATACCTCATCGAGTGGACCAAACCACCCCAAAACCCGATCATGTCACCCACAACCCAGAACCAAATCAATTCCAGCTCATTTAGAGACCCATCGACCGGGTGGTTAGGCCCCGATAACATATGGAGGGTAGTCGTCGGAAGCAAAATCGGGAGACGGGGTGTGGCGATTTTGTACAAGAGCAAAGATTTCGTGAACTGGGTCAAAGACGAGAAGCCACTGCATTCGGCTCACGGGGATGGAATGTGGGAGTGCCCTGCCTTCTATCCGGTTTCTATAGGAAACCGAAATAGTGTGGACACTTCGAAGAGCAGTCACGATTTGAACGTAAAATACGTGCTGAAAATGAGCTTGGACGATATTAAGCACGATTACTACACGGTGGGGAGCTACAGCTACCATACGGATGTTTACACACCAAACAAAGGGTCGATTGAGAATGGGTTTTCAGGGTTGAGATACGATTATGGTAAGTTATACGCATCGAAATCGTTCTACGATGGTGAGAAGAACCGCAGGGTGTTGTGGGGGTGGGTGAACGAGTCTTCGAGTGTCGATGATGATGTCAAGAAGGGTTGGTCTGGAGTTATGGTAAAGTTGAATGTTCAAACTTCATTTATGGTTTTTTGTTGGGTGAATAATTAGTTATGATTAACACATTTGATTGTATTTGCAGGCGGTTCCAAGAAGAATATGGTTGGACAAATCTGGAAAACAACTCCATATAAATCCAGTTCAAGAAATAGCGAAGCTTCGTGTTAATCCAGTAAACTTGCGCAATCATGTCCTCCAACCTTCATCGTTACTAAAAGTCCACAATATCACAGCAGCCCAGGTATAGATCAATAATATAAGGCGATTTTTGGTGACCATTTTTGCGACTTCAAGGATTGTAAGAACCTTTTGGTGACCATTTTGCTCACTAATTCACAGGCAGATGTGGAGATCGCATTTGAAGGATTAGACTTGAGCAAAGCAGAAGTGTTAGACCCAAGCTGGATAAGCAAACCACAGGTGCTCTGCAACCAAAACGACTCATCGGTTAGAGGAAGTTTAGGTCCGTTTGGGTTGAGGGTTTTGGCTTCCAGAGGCATGGAAGAGTACACCTCGGTGTTTTTCAGAGTCTTCAAGAAGAACACCAAAAGCAACCAACACATGGTGCTAATGTGCAGTGACCAAAGCAGGTTATTACTTCAAATATATGTTATATTTCATTCCCTGCAACACAGAAGAGGCTTTTGTGACCAGCAGAACGATTGCAATGCATATCCCTTTCAGGTCTTCCCTTGATAAGGATGTCGACAAATCGAATTACGGCGCATTCGTGGATGTGAACCCAGCTCACGAAAAGCTGTCATTGAGAACCTTGGTGGGTTGATCTACACACCCTTTTCCTTATTTGATATAATCCATCATTTTCTGATCTTCTGACTTCCTTCTTTGTTTCGATGTTGATGTTAAATATTGCAGATCGATCATTCCATAGTAGAAAGCTTTGCAGCAAAGGGGAAGAGCTGCATAACATCAAGAGTTTATCCCAAATTGGCCATAAACAAGGCTGCCCATTTGTATGCTTTCAACGATGGACTTCAGAGTGTGAAGATATCAAGATTGAATGCTTGGAGCATGAAGAGTGTTCAAATCACTGGAAAGCAATGACAGACTTATGGAAGCTTAAGAACAGACTATCCTTTCACAAACAAGTCCTTTTCAACTTGTTTTGTAATTTGTGTTTCTTTCCGACTTGTCATTTTAATGTTTTTTCCTATGTATCCACTTTATAACGATAGTGTTTGGTTTTGTGTATTGTTGGAGCCTGTAAGAATGATGAAAGCTTTGTTTTTATCTTGGTTATCAGTGACCTGTTTGGTTAAAAAAGGTTTACATCTAGGTTTATCAAGAGGAAGGCATACGACTTTCGGAGGAAGAAAAAAAGAACGAACAATCATACAAATCATACGATTTACATGACTTAATGTCGCATTTATGACACACCTCTAGATTTTTTATGCATAAGAAACACCGATTCCACATGCAAATAGTTAAGAAAGAGTTAGTAAATCGTATCAAAACAACCATCCATAATCTCGTCTCCTAGTAAAAAAACATGGATATAAGCTATAAGGGAACAAAGAAAGCTTGATTTACCTAATCTCATTAAAAGAAACGTTACTCATCAGCACACGGAAAAAAAGGAGTGTCAATGGACTTTATAACACCATAGAAACGAAAGAATCAAAGAATTCTCAACACTACAAGCCTCCCATCGCGCAGACCAATTCAAACTAGGGTTGCCCAAAACGTTTTCCGGCCATCAAATGAGCCGTTCTCAACCAGTAAACTATATGATACGGCTATACATAGATACTAGTGAAGCAACCCTAAGACACCGTTATCGTTCATGCAAGTCCACTCCCCTGAAAATCCAGTTGACAAACTTAGTAAAAATCAACCCATAACATTGCGGCATTACATCTCATTAAGGTGAATAGTCCACACAAGTTATGAAAATTTTCGGTACCTTGTGTGTGTTCTCTACCTTCTCGGTTTTTGCCCCTTCGTCTTCAGTGTCATGATCAGTATCCTCTTCATGGACCGTGTTGTCATGATCAGTATCATCACCATCGTTATCTATGTGGTGGCCATAGGAATCAACCTCAGCTGCCTCCCCCGTATACCATGCCACGGCATGAGAAATAATCTTACTGCGAATGGTCGTGCTACATTGCCACAAAAACGAGCCGAAAAAGGCATATAAGAAGGCAGAAAGGTAAAATAGACAATGCACAACTCTAATACACCATTGACAAGAAGAGTTGGGAGATACCCAATATTGTAGTCCTGCTCCATTCGGTCTTGAAGATCCTCGGCCTATAAAACAGAAGTTAATTAGAAAAACAAAGAGTTCCCACATCAATAGTTGGTTAATGGTTTAATGCTTGGATGCCAGACTTACAGCATCATCATCAAGGTCATCTTCGTCTTCTGGAATGTGGGGTGTATTAAAGAACGTGAAGAAACTCGGACAATCCTCGATTTTGGTGATGGGTTTGGCATTCTTGGATCCCTTTTTAGGTTTCTTCTTTAGAATCTTCTTGGTCAAGCATTTTCCAGAATGCCATTCGATTTCCGTCCTATAAAAGTGCAACCAACAAATCATAAAAGACCAAGAAGGAACTGAACAACCCTGAAAAGGATCCAGTGAGAAGACATGTGCAGTTTACCCAATCGCTTTCTCCAGAACGGGATCTTCATCATCCTCAATTACATGATATGTTTTAGTCAGCACGGAATTCTTGAAGTATGGGTTGGGATCAAAGTGAAACTCCAGCTTGAAACCCACAGGATCCTCAAGCCTAATACTTTTGATGTCTCTAAGAAACTTAAGAGCTGCCTCGTCGCGTTCTGTTATCTGTCCAACACAATCAAAATCAACTTTCCAAAAACGCAACTCAACCATCTGTAATTACATAATGTAGCCAACAAACTTATCAATATCTCCTGTCAAAGAGTTACCTCCTCAGCTAACACTTCGTTGTTTTTCATTGCAGTGAGCCAGAAGTCGGGTACTCCTGATCCTGCGGTGAAAATATCATCAGTCAAGGAGAAGTTCTGCCATGGCATCAAAATACATTCTCTTATGGAAAGTCACCTCCAACAGCTTTATCAGCTTCTTGATCCCCTGAAGCATCAGATGAGGCCCCATCAACTTCTTTTATACCATTTATAATCTCGTATCTCTAACAGAACCAAAGAATATGTTGAATCAGTTACGCATGCTAACTTAAGAACCTCAATGGTAATGATTAAGAAAAAGCATTATTCGAGAAACCTGAGTATAAAGTGGTTCATAAAGCTTCTGATACTTCGCCTCCAATGCCCTCCTCTCCTCAAAGAACTTCGCCTCCAGTTCATCATGTTGGCCCTGTTAATGGTGATGCACATATATATACTTTCATCTCATAAACCAAAGGAGACAGGTACAGATACTTACTCTTTAACCATCAAACCAATTCAATAAATAGCTATTGAACAATCTAAAGCTATTGCAAAACAAAGCACTACCTGAATCTCTTTCAGATACTCCACGCGTTTCCTGACTCTCGGAGGAAGCTCTTCTATGATGTTTGAGTGCTGCCCAGCCAAGTTCTGTAACTTATTCTGCACCAGAAAATCCCCACCCATGAATTAGAATCCTGTATTTCGCTTCAAAGTTCCCAACTTTCTAGACTGCTGATTGTAAACATGATCAATAGCCTCATCTTAACTTTACTATACTACTGCAAAACATCCAAATCTTACTAAAACGCGTTAAATTCATCATATACCTTAAGTGCATTTACAAGGTCGGCTCGATCCTCTGCACTAAGAGCTGAAAATGGACAATCCAACAAAAGAGGATCACATAAATAATTCGATCCCAATCCATTTTCTCCAATCGCAAAACTAAACAATCAAATGAATTCGTAGAACAGAATCCTGAAACGATTCCACACTCCAGCAACACAAACTCATCAAATAACTATCCCACATGACATGATCAGGGTTCGGTAAACGTACATTCTGCCTCATCTCTCTCGCTCTCGATTTTCCGACCATAAATATACCAATCTAAATCTCCTAGAACGATGATATAATATAATACACGGCGCCGGAGAGGGTTTGGGGGAAGAGGGCATAGTGAGAGTACCGGCGGCAGCTGCGGGCAGGGAGGAGTCGAGATCGGAGACGCGCAAGGAATCCTTACTCATGTTGTGAGATTTTCGTTTGATTGATGATGGAGCAAGGGACGGAGGAGAGAGTTTGGGAAACAGGAAAATGGAGAGTGGAAGATCCGAGAAAACGAGGGAAATTTCTCTTTTGCCGCGGTGGCCAGGCAGGGAGTGAGCCAGGTGAGTTGCGCGCGTTTGGAAAGAAAGTGTGAGAAAGGGAAAGAAGAAACGCCAATTATATATAGCTTTAGTACTGCTAAATGCTAATCATGTCTCTTAACCAATACGTCTATGTATTATCTTACGATTTTAAACAAACACATCCGTTACTTCATCCAATGAATCGACACGATTTTATGATCCTTCCTATAATTGCATGTGACATTCTATGTGCTACGAAATTCGATTATGGGGAAAAAGAGCACATGAAACGTTCAAAATTCTCCTTATTTCCACATTTTAGTTTCTACAAGCATTTGGATTTTGGAAGCAAGAATGGAACCGAAAACGAGAATCGAGAAGAGGGTTGCTTGCAAGCAGCAACAAGGGACTATGCTCTATCCATATTCCATATCAGTATAGCAATGGTCTAAAGTCTAAACGCTAAAGGAAGCTCGTCGATAGAAATCCTAGTCTCTCCCTTGTGTTCATGAAGAGCCTAGCTTTGCTCTCAATGATTCAATGACAGCAGAAAAATCGTCATCACTAAGTCCACGAGCTTTTGCCACCTTATACAGCTCATTAGCAGCTGCTGCAATTGGTGTTGGCTGTGAAACAGATTCTGCTAGACCCAAAGCAAGCCTCATGTCCTGAAAAGGTAACAACAAAACCACCATCACCACCATTCCATCTTTATTACTTTAAGTCAAGGTTTCGTGTAAATTTCGGATTAATCTGCAGACCTTCTGCTGATGTTTTAGTGGGAAAGCTGTAGGGTAGGCGGATTTGATCATCGATGGTCCTTTCATCGAGTACATTGGAGCGCTTATGGCGCCTTGTGACAGTACCTCGACTAACACGTTTGGGTCGAGCCCTACTTTCTCGCTCAACAGCAGTCCTTCAGCGAGAGTAGCCATCATACTGCACAAAACACATAGAACAAATAAAAATGTAGTTCCTGTATTGTTAGAGCAAGGAAGAGCCAGAATGTGAACAACGATGATCAAGCAAGGAAATGAGTAATATACACCTTCCCATCATCATGTTGACTACAAGTTTCATAGCAGCTCCATTTCCAACATCGCCAAGGTAGAATCTCGACTGTGAGAAGAATGATTATGTTAAAGTAACCTTATACTCCGAATCGGAATGAAAAACCGATGGAGTAGCAAAGTACCTTCCCCATGATGTCCAAGAAAGGAGACGCCAAGTCATAGAGAGGTTTGTCACCTGAACAATGGAAGCTACATATACTTCAGATTCCACTATGATAGGTTTTACGACCATATAAAGGTGTTACTTCATACCAGCAGTGAGAAAGATCAGTTGGCCATCTTCTGCCGGCTTTTTCGAACCAGAGACAGGAGCCTACATAGGAACTATAGCATAAGGTTTGAAGAGAATGTGCGTACTTCCGTAATCTGATGATGATGTCACTTTAAAGCAACTATTGTTGACATATTTGTGTCACCTCCAAAAATGATGCACCGGTAGACTTCATACGTTGGTTGATCAATTTAGAAGTCCCACCATCTACAGTTGAGACATCTACATAACTGGCAGTAAAATTTATGAACATCAGAATCAACACACACGCACACACAACCCACATAGTCTGAAGGATTGTGGAAAAAAGTACCCTTTTCCTGGACCGATGCCATTTGCTGCCCCATGTTCTCCACAAGCAACCTCGAACTGATACGAAACCAGAGTATTATATGGTGGCATCTAAATTCCAATGGGCCATAATAAGCAAGCGACTAAATCCGGAAAAAGAAAAGAAGGCATACGCACTGCACTATCAGGATCAGCAAGCATGGCAAATGTCACATCACATTCAGCAGCTACTTCCTCAGGAGAAGGTTTATATCTGCAGTACATAAAACAATCGAATGTGCATAAAAAACTGCTTCCAAGTGCAAGTGGCAGAATGGACCTAAATGCATGTATATACATAACAACAATGGTGTGTGTAGACATCTTATTGCTAAACCAGTCAAGTACAAGAATGGCTACACAATATATTTAGTGAATTCCCAGTTGAGATTGCTAGACACAAAGCGCCATACAGCAGCAAATTTACTTACTTTGCACCTAAGCTTATCAAAGGGTCACATTTGCTCTTCGTCCTATTCCACACAGTTACATCGCACCTGCAAAGGATCATCCAATTCTTTGGTTACTATCCCAAAATCGACTTCATAACAGAAGGTCAATAAACTGTCTAAGCCGTCTCTTCCAGCATTGAAACTGACAAAACCAGCTGACGAATCTTTAGTAACACAATTTTGGATTCTAAAAACAGCATCAGAATGCTAGATCTCTCAGTGAAAGATTCTTTTGGAGGAGTTCAGAAAGGTGAACCGTCACTTACCCAGCTTTTAAAAGATTTTGCGCCATTGGAGACCCCATAATTCCCAGACCCAGAAATCCAACACTAGTTGATGAACCATCTGCAACAAATTTGAAACAAAATGTAGCTAAGTAGTAACCATGCTTAAAGCCTTATCCATCCAGAATAGCCACAGGAGTACAAAAACTGAAGCAAGCTGCATATTGGGAATGTAGAAGTGTACTCAAGTCAACTGCATTCCATCAATCAGGCATACCAACATCCCAATTTTAGAATGTTTGAACTTCAAAGTAGAATAACTACAATTCTCAATCAGACTAGTTCTGATTTAGATAACAGCTACCCAGAGAATCCCAAATTTACTGAAAAAAGGTAATCCAGAAACTTGCAACTCCGTGGAACTTTCCGCTTACTAGCACCCAATCCCGCATATCAAAGTCGCCCATTTCCAGGTACATCAAAGTTCTGTGATCCTCCTTATGGGTTCAGTCAAGATCGTACCTTTAGCGGAAGCTTGGACGGAGAAAGCCTTGTAACGAACTGAAAGAAGGCGTTTGGCGGGGAAAGCAGAAATGGGTCTCTCGGCGAAATGGATAGGAAGCTGAGTGGAGTAGCTACAGTACTTAGCCATTGTAGTTCTCACCCACAAAGCCATCGCCTTTCACGGCCGCTCTAATATATGGATTGTGGGCCGTGGGCGGTCGAGACCTGAGCTCGCAATTCTATGAAGAATACTTTTGGTGGTTAGATTGCTTTGGATTCTGGATAAAAGACAGGAGGAGAGTGGTGGCGCTGACGAGCGGTGCGGGGATAAAATGGCGTCAATGGCATTTTCGTTTTGGCGCCACATAATAAAGACAAATAGTTTTTTCTTAAAAACAAACATCAACCAAATTATGCGTCTTATAAATCTATTACCATAATCATTTCCACAATCATTCGACGAATTTGGTTCTAGCTTTGCTAAGACAAAGATCCTCGTCATAGCAAAACTAAAATTATCAAGAAGGCAAAAAGAATTTTGGGCATACATGCTACTGAAATGCAAGTTGGCTACCGAAAGACCCTAGAGACACAGCTGAGCTAAACCCTATGGCTAAACAACTTTCCAGGATAATAACCCAATTTCTCCAAGGAGGAACACAATGGTATACCTGTGAAATTTTCCAAGTAACAAAGAAACCCAGAGACTGAAAATTCCGGTTCTTTTTCTTGACATAGAAGGCCCAATTTTTGCCACCCTATCAACCAACTACCCTAGGGAGAAAGGAGGACTGCGTCCTCAACAGTTCTCTTTACAATCCCATACAAGTTTCCCCACAAATGTTTGCCTGCAACAACACCAAACCCAGAGAGAAGCAATCACTCTTTTTTCACTTCCTATAAGGATGGTGTCGTCCCGCCCCCGTAGAACCTCCACCGCTGCCTCCATATGCCTTCCCACTGCCATATCCACTGCTACCACCACTGCTACCATGTCCTCTACCTCCATCATCGGTTCGTTCGAACCCTTTGCCGACGCCATAGCCAGCTGCCGCCCCATATGGGAAGGCTGAACCACCACCACCTCCATACATGCCATTGCCATACATCATAAAGTTGTTCAAACCAAATCCATAGCCGTATCCACCATATGCACCATAGAACCCGGCGGCACCCCCCGCATAGCCTGCTCCATAACCGGCTCCATAACCATTGAAATCGGAATAGCCGCCATAGCCACCAGCAGCAGCACCACCACCAGCGTATGCTCCTCTGCCCATTTTCCCACTGTACCGACCTCCAGAACCATGAACAGAGCCATATCCAATTGCCTCACTGTTGAATCCTCCACCGTAAGACTTCGGGGCGCTACCATAATCACCACCGCCGAATCTTCTAGGTTCGGCCTTCTTTATCTCCACCTGAATAAAATGGAAACCAGAAGTTGCAACTTGTGACTAGTTTGAAAAAAGGCAGAGTAGCAGAAAGGGTTAAAAAGCCGACAACATTAGCAGAAATATCAGTTTCAATTAGATTATCCGTTACCTCTTTCCCTCCAAGCTCGTGGTTCCTACCCTCTGAAAAGATCCGTTCGACAGAATCTTCACTGTCGAAGGTGACAAACCCAAATCCCCTTGAGCGTCCAGTTTTATGATCCAACATGATCTGATACTCCGTGATGCCTCCGTAGAATGAGAAGTACTCCTTTAACTCATCTAAGATAAAAAATATATATATATATATATATATAAAGATGAAGAATCAAAGGAGATACACAACATGCCAGGAATTAATGATGAAATAAAATGATGTGTTCAACTTGGGTACCTTCAGTTAAAGAAGGGGGCAATCCACCTACAAAAATTTTCTTAACTCTCATTCCTTTGAAGTCCATATCCTCCCTTGGAACTGTCTTCTTCACCTCAACCTAACACAAATAAGCACCAGCAGAGTAAGTACCAAGCAATGACAATTGCAATTCTACTCAAACACAACTACAAAAATGTAAGAATTTAGCGCAACTTACAGATCTGCCATCTACAGTATGATCTCGCTCCAAGACTCTATCGGCAACCACTGGGTCAGAAAATGTTACAAACCCGAACCCACGTGGCCTTCCTGACAGTCTATCCAACATTATCACAGCATCCGTGATTTCTCCAAACTTGGAGAAGTAATTAGTGAAGGTCTCTGGAAAAAAAAGTCAACACACAGCAGGAGACAACTTAAGTACAAAAATCGAAAATGAACAACAGAGAGAAACAACTGCAAGCTCAGGCTGAGAGCACAAACATGAAAAAGAAAAGGAAACTGAAAGAGTTCACTCAACATTATCACAAACAAATAAACAATCAAGAGATTTCACAGACACAGGACAACAAGCTTTTGGCGTATCAGATAAGGAATCGGCTTCAATCTTTTACTCTCTTATCTGATAATTACTTAAAAGCCTTAGGTTGTTGAGGTGATTCTGAAGCAATGTCGTTTAATATAACACAGATACATAGAGGCCGCTACCACAATTTACAATGACAACTGAGTCGTTCATTACAAAATCTGATGTGATCCTTTCATCAAGCCAAACAGCAAACAGGAAAGGAGGGAAAAGGGGAATCAGCTTTTTTCCAAATCATGACTTCATTGCGCTCGCAGCCAATAAAAATTATGAATCAGCTGCTATCATAACCTGAGTAGATGGAGAAACAAACCAAACAAATTGGCAAGCCATTTACTAGTCTGCATACCTTGCAACAAGATCCTCATCCATCTCAACATTTGAAATCAAAGAATTAAGTAACAGCAACATAATTCTAGGCCACATGTTATATTAACAGCTACATATAACGCCAATGTAGGACTTAGGAGACTAATTCACCATAGCAGATCCAGTACTTCTGTATCTTCCATGAACCCTAACACGAGGAAAACCACCATCTTTGTTTAAATCACACAATTTATTAAGCTTGTAAACCACAGATGCCACACAAAATTGGCTAACAATATCCAATTCAGTGAAGTTCAAACCAAATCTCCATCAGCTCTAAGGATAAAACCATTCCTAACTAGAACTACAGTCCAAACATATAGCAAAGGCAAAAAGTTCAATTTTCTAAGTAGCATAATAGATGATACCAACAGGAACCTGTTAAAGTTCAGAACTTACAAATAAGAACTAAACCAAAGTGAGAAAAAAAGGAAAGAATCGAAGTTGGTCATACCTTCAGTGGTATCCCAAGAGAGTCCTCCAACAAAGAGTTTTCTACCAACAATAACAACAACAAAAAAACAACCCACAATTATTTCCTATAAAATCTCTTTCTCTATCCATTTCCACCAGGCGTTGCAGCCTCTTGGAAAAACAAGAACAACAAAAGCCTTCCAAAACTACCAATTCCCTATCTTTCCTTGATTTTTATACATGCATTCTATAACTAAGAAGCTATCTGCTATTGCTAAACCAACCAACTAACTAACCCAGGAGCTGAAGAAGAAGAGGACTGATGACTGTGATTAATCGTCCTCCCACCGTTTCCAGCTCCAGCTTCTTCCTCTTGCCTTTTATCCCGCCTTCCCTGCTGCTGCGGCTGTTGCTCTTGTTGCTGCTGCTGCTGAGGTATCTCTTCAAAATCTTCATAGTAATCATGTTCTTCTTCATCGACATTGAAAGCCAGAACATTTCCTTGATCGAAATCCCTTTCATGTTGCGAGTAATCGTAATCCATGCTTAAAAAGAACTCAAAACCACACTCACGATTTCGATTGGGAAAAAAAAGGGTTGCCGAGAACCCTAGAACCTGCCGAAAGCAAGAGAAATCGGGTATAGTTCAATATGCGCACCCAGTTCTATGGTTTTCAGAATGATTGCCCATGACCAATAAAAAGGACTGAAATCTGAGACGGCAAGTAAAAGAGATAGCGGCGCCGGCGACTGAAAACGGCGATCTGTAGAAGACGGATTGAGGAGAGAGGAGGGTTTGTTTGTGATGGACTGTATACTCTTTTGTCGATTTGCTTTGTGAGCCTTTTGTTTTGCATGAGAAACGGAAAACAAAAGTGGGGATTGGGGAATTTGCGGATTCGGGTCGGGTCCAAACCAGAGTCCCGATTCCCGAATAATCCTTAAGCCCAGCCCACCACCACCACCACCAAATCGAGCCCAGCCCTTCTATGAGCTCTTCTTTGTCTTCCTTCTCTACTAGCGACGCCAGAGACACGGAGGCAGTGAGCCGGCGACTGCTGTAGCTGCGGCCTAACCTCCCATCCCTCCTTCATCCCCCATCTCTGTCTTCTCCGGCGAAGAAGACGAGCACAACCCAAGAATTTCAGCTCTCTCCGACGAGGGTTTCTCCAGCTGTGTCCACAATCTACAGGGGCGGGATGTGGAGTATAATCAGAGAGGCATTCGACAAAACACTGCTGGTGGCAAAAGCGTATGGCATCCTCCACATCACTAATTCCTACCTCTGTACAGTTGCGCTTGTAAGTTCTCATCACTAATTCTTGATTCCACTGGCCTTTCACCATTTTCAGTTGCCCCGATTGATCCCAATCTCTGATGTCCTTCTGTGTGTTTGTGTTGGGGAAATTGCAGGCTTATGGCCCCAGCATGATTCCGACTATCAACCTCACCGGCGACCTCATCCTCGCCGAGAGAATATCCCCCCGCATCGGGAAGGTGGGCGTCGGAGACATTGTTATCGTCAGATCGCCGGTGGTCCCCAGGAGGGTAGTGACGAAGCGTGTGGTTGGCATGGAAGGGGATCAAGTCACCTACTTGCTCGACCCACACAACAGCGATGAAGTTCACTCCATTGTGGTAGTAATTCAGTCTCTTTCTGCTCCTCTCCCCTTGATTGCTTGCTTGCTTGCTTGAATATGGGTGTTCTTTATTTCCAAATGAAACCTCGTTCATTCTGTGTTTGTTCCTTCCGTTCATTTGTTCATCAGGTTCCGAGGGGCCATGTCTGGATACAGGGAGATAACATATACAATTCGAAAGACTCGAGAGATTTTGGTCCAGTTCCTTATGCACTTGTTGAAGCAAAATTACTTTGGAGGGTATTCCTCACTCCACCTGCTCCCTCTCTCTGTCTCTCTTTGTTTATTTCAGCTCTATGCTTCTTAATAGTAGTGCATAATGGTTAGTTTTATTCCAGTCATTTGTGATAGGTGCTTCAATTCCTGTCTTCAAGTTTGCGTGTGACTGGAGTAGTAGAATGTAGGACTTTGGAATCCTGGGTTTCCATTATTCGATCATCCTGTTTAATCATGTACAGTATTCATTTTGATGTTCTGTTTGCTGTTTTGGTTCTAGGTGTGGCCGCCTAAAGATTTTGGTCCAATGCAACACATATCAAGATAGAAGAGGGAAATGAAGGAACCATACATGCACTGCTAGCTCTCTTGATGTTATTTGATGGTAGCAACCCTAATTAAAGAATGTGGGTTCCCCTTTTCATGGCCTGAATGAGCTAGCTGTAAGGTGGTTGAATGCGGAAGACAGATCGGACCAGAGATCGGTACTCGGATTGTTTAGACTGGGTTCTGGCAGAGTAAACGGTGAAAGATCTTCTGACATCAAGAAGAGACCAAGTATGGGGGTTAGTAGCTCGATAGGCTGGCCTGCAGAAGTTGGTTTGTCCTTCTGATTTCTGGAGTCGATGCCTGAGATAGAAATTTTGCTTCTCACCAGTGACTACTCTATCAAACTCATACATTTTTCTATCAACAACACTATCAAACATCATTCAAAAGATGAAAGACGCTACTGTTCATATGATTACAATGCTACATTGATATGTATAAACTAGAAGCCCCTTTCGTGAAAAGTTCTTCCCATTTTCCTCTATCATCAAGACCTTTGTGCTATGTTACTCCTCCTCATCCTCCTCCTCATCATCATCCATAAACTCCTCTTCTTCTTCTTCTTCTTCATCATCCAATTCTTCCTCGTCGACAATGAATCCTCCCAATGTCTCATCATCTTCATCTTCTTCTTTCTCTTCATCCACCTCACTAATCTTCTTCTTCTTCCCTCCTCCTACCTGCTTCTCTTCCCCGTCACTCTCCTTCTTCCTCTTCTTGTCCTGTGACCTTGTAGTGTATTTCCCACCTCCTCCATCCTTCTTTCTTCTGTTCGTTGTTGTCTCCGCGCCAATCTCCTTCTCTTCATCCTCGCTCTCTCCTCTCCATTCATCATCCATTCCATTCTTCTTCTTCTTCTTCCTCCTTCCTCTGCGACCACCTTCATTCTCATCCTCGCTCACTCCCTCTGTCTCATCCAAGAACCAATCCCACTCCTTGGCATTTCTAACCCTCCCCTTAGGGTACCTCTCGAATTCCCGCCCAATCACCAAAAACCCAAACTCTGCATTTCATAAAGCCCTAATTGTTTACCAACACGAATGGGAATTCCCATTTGAATTAAGGAACATGAGAGATTAAAGGTCAAACCTTTAACAGGATCTACCAGAGAAATGTCGAAGTTTTCTTCATCTTCCGATTCCTTCTCAGTTTCATTTCCGTACCCGGCGTCGCTTTCTATGTCCCTCGCCTCTGCACGGCCGACGGTTCTCAATCTGAACCAAACGGGGGGTTGGGTCGAAATACAGAAGCAATCGCCGGCTACGAGCTGGCCCCTATCGGACTTCTTGAAGAGCTTTTCCTCTCCGTCAGTTCGCACACAGACAGGGTTCTTCCCGAGGACAAGAAACGAAACCCTAGGCAGCGGCTGGGAGTGGTTACCTCCTGCGGGCGCGGGGTATTCTCCTCCTCTGTTGGCCCCGTCGAGTCGGAACTCAATGTGGCGGCGGGAGACGGTTCTGTCGTCGGTTTCGAAACCGTTGCCTCTGCCGAGGACGGTGGCGGAGCCGCGGTGGAGCTCGGTTTTGGAGCCGTCGTCGCCTTCGATCTCCATGGAAGCGATGGAGGGAAAGATGGGGAAATGATTTTTTTGGCGGTGAAAATTGGCAGGGAAAGGCGATACTGAATATAAATGGAGCAAACGGCACCGTTTAACTATCCTCTTAAAGACTTTGATGACCGGCGTGTGCTAATGGGCCGAGTCATTTCATTGGGCTTGACTTTGCAGTTTTGAATTTGATAAAATTTTGGAATCACAAAATTTATAATATGAAGGCAAAGTTATAACTTATAGGCAAAATACAGCTGTATATCCACAACTATCAGGTTTGTGACAAATATATTTACAATTATCAAAATACACGAAACATCCAAAAATCGGAAGGTTGTGTGACAAATTTATCCACTTCCGTCTGAAACTATAACGGCGTGTCAGACGGCGTTAAATTGACTAACGGAATGCTGAATCGATGTCAGCTCACCTGCCACATAAGCCAAAAAGCAACCAAACTTTACACGTAGATGCCAAATAGGCTAGTTGAATAAAGGCAAAATACAGTTGTATATCCACAACTATCAGGTTTGTGACAAATATATCCACCACTATCAGGTTTGTAACAAATATATCCACAACTATCGAAATACACGAAATATCCATTTCCGTCCATTCCGTTAACTCTGTCAGTTAACTTGATGACTGGACAAACAGTGGATGCTTAGTTGACGTGTTTCTGACCCCACTGAATGACGTGGATTAAAAGAGAAAAAAAATTAAAAACCCTAAAAACCACAGACAGCGAGACTAAAAATCCAACCTAGAAACACACCCGATAACCATTGATCCTCCTCCGATCGGCGCCTCCACCCCCAAATAACCCTATCCCAAGCCCAGATTTTGATTCCAACCACAATCCCCAACCATTGCCTCCCTTTTACTCTGACGGCTTCCATGCAGTCGGTGCCATGGTGATACCAAGTTTGAATCTAACAATATCGCCAACAGAGAAGACTACAGCATCGAGGTATAACAGATAACGGTGTAAAGTTTGGTTGCTTTTTGGCTTATGGCAGGTGAGATGGCATCAATTCAGCATTTTGTTAGTCAATTTAACGTCGTCTGACATGTTGTTATAGTTTCAGACGAAAGTGGATATATTTATTACACAACCTTCCAATTTTTGGATATTTAGTGTATTTCGATAGTCGTGGATATATTTGTCATAAACCTGATAGTTGTGGATATACAACTGTATTTTGCCTAATTTTTTCTCTTTTAATCCACGTCATTTAGTGGGGCCAGAAGCATGCCAACTAAGAATCCACCGTCTGTCTAGTCATCAAGTTAACTGACGGAGTTAACGGAGTGGATGGAAATGGATATTTCGTGTATTTCGATAGTTATGGATATATTTGTCACAAACTTGATAGTTGTGGATATACAACTGTATTTTGCCTAACTTATAATTAGGGCCGCAACCGAGCAGAGTCGAGTTTTTGCTTAGATTGAGCTTAGTTCGTTTATAAAATTTTCGGTTAGAGCTCGACTCAAACTTGAAAATCCAGATCGAGCTCGAGCTCACCTCGATTAAAAATAATCCAGCTCGAGTTCGACTTGGTAGAGCTCGGTAAATGCTCATTTACACAGCTTGTCAAGCTGAGTACAAGTTCGGCTCAAGATGAGCTCAATTTGAAATCATTCTTGTTGAAAAATGTGTACACATAAGAGTTTAAATGATACAAAAAAACACTAGAAACTATAAATAAAAACTGACTTTCATACACATCTGTAGTAACAAGATAATTATCATGTTCAGAAGAGTAATTAATCCTTCTACAAGCTCTAAACAAGCCAGCTCGCAAGCTTATCAGGTGGGAAAACAGGTTGGATGGGTTGTGCCTGACTTCTTATGAATATGACGATTGTTACTACGGTTCACACCTCTTCAAACACTGTTCGAATGAGGGTGTTTGGTGTATGGGGAATCTACGTTACCTTACACTACTCCTATGGAGATTCCTTGAGAGCTCTACGACTACGACTAAGACTACTGCTATGGAGGATCCTGCATGGAGGAGAGCTTCGCAAACTATAGAGAAAAATAAAAAAGGGACAGTTCAGACAAGTTGTCTTTGTGTTGAATTGTGATTGTATCTCTTGCTCCAGGATCTTGCTTCAAGTTTTGTTGCCAAGATTTTTCCAACTGATCTCTCTATCCTTCTCCCGAAAAGTAGCTCCGCTTAGCCTCTACGCAAGTCAGTTGTCGCCAAGAAGTCTCTGGACACATCACCACATCATCCTAATTCAACATGGATGGTATCCACGATATGGATGGTCACCATCCAATCAGTCCTTTGGATGGTGCCCATGATATTTGGGATGGTACCATCGACCATACGGTTGGGATGGTAACCATGGTGTGGGATGGTCACTATCCACTTAGAGTTTGGATGGTGTCTACTATGTGGGGGATGGTCACTATCCAATTAATCCTTTGGATGGTATCCCTCATCTTGGATGGTACCATCCATCATAGGGTTTGGATGATATCCATGTTATTGGACACTACCATCCATAATAAGATTTCGATGGTATTCATCATGTTAGACACTACCATACATAATAGGGTTTGGATTGGTATCCATTATGACGGATGGATGGTAACAATGTTGTAGTTGGTACAATCACCATCTTGGCTGGCTACCTTATGACAAGCTACTACCCGTCAGACAGATGGCCCAACCATCCAATTCGGACCACCGTGTCCATATACATGCCAACTACTTAAGGTGTCCCAATTATTCATAAATACTACATGTAATATTTAATAAATTTATTTTGGTGTAAACAAATGCCCCCACAACTTAGTTCATAAGAAATTATGAACTAAGTTGTTGACAACAACTGCTCCGGGTACCAAATCACATGGATCAACCAATGGCTTGCACGACACCCCATCACATAAGGAGTCCCCTTCCTTCATGGTAAGTTCACACATGACAGTAATTTATGTCACTTCCAATTCTTACTCAGCCAGACACCAATTTTTTTATTCAGCTATGAGAAAGCCAAGCAAATTAATTAATCCCTAAATAGCCAGGCCATAAAAAATGTGGCCTCGGTTATACTTTCTCCTTTTCTGATAAGGATTACAAATTCTTGTTCATGTAGGACACATCTTCTTAACCCATATTCTACTAACAAAAGGAAACTCACTACTATAAGGACACAATTAATTTCTTCCACTATAAATTGATGCTTTCATTCTTTACAACTCAAAAATACCAATATACCTCCAATAAGTTGTACTATGCCTATCAAGAGCATCATCTATCTCATATCTCCATGCTGAGGTATCCCTTTCACCATTTTGCTCATACTTGCTGCAATATTTTCATGTATTGACTTATTATGGACTTGATAATTTCAGTGAGCATGGCCAAATTTCATTGGCCATCAAACCCCACTGATCTAAACACTCTCTTCAATTTGTACGACCATTGTACATGGCCAACTCAGTTGCTACTATTTTCTATGTGCTTGGATCAGTTCTTTTCTCTTTTTCATCAACTTGGCTCCTCTTCTTGTTATGGCCACCACGTAATTGCGTGCCAAGAACCTATGTCACCAATCTGTCGAGGTTAGACATGCACCAACACAAACACTCACACACGCCTTATAGAATCATGATCTTGATCAAATCAATCACCATCCATAGCTAACATGGATAGTATCCCTTTTTACCACTTAATCATCCCTCAAAAGGATATCCTTCCCCTCAATCATGGATGGTTACTCAATACTACATTACCCAACTCAACCACCATCCATCACTACAATGATGGTATTCTTTTATTTGAGCAACACCATCAAAAGCCAATTAGGATTTCTTGATCACCACTTTATTTATTTAGTTTATATTTTATCTATATATATTTATTTTTTCATGATAAGAGTTGGATGCGTCACCACTCGCCATAACCCTTAGTAGTAACTAAGGATCCAAAGGTATATACCCATTGCCAACTTCATTGATTAAATCACACAAGCCATCCATGTGTCATGTGGCTTCCTCCTTTCAAAGGAGGTATACCAACTGGAATGACATTATAAATCTTAATGGTAGGGTGCATTTTCCCAACATGATTTTTGGCACCCTTGCCTATGACCCCATGTCTATCTGCTCGAGTTACCCCAACCAGCTCATCTGGTTGTTGACATTGACCCCTGTAGTTGTGAACTGTTCTATGACGCACACCATGCATTCCCAATTCTGTTGGGTTAGATTGACAATCATGAACACCTCTTTGCCTTGACTTCTCCCAAAGTGGTTCATGTCTACTCTTCACATTATTTGGAGAGGATGTGTACTTAGACTTTACATGTCCACGACCACCTATATGGCTTACTTGTCTTTGTTTCCAAACTCTAAAGTCTTGTTGCCTCCTTCACTTAGCACACAACCACCTTTGATCCTTTGCTTTACCATATCTTGTTGGTGCATATGGAGGCTTCTTATGCATGCCACTATGTCCACCATTTTCTACAATGTTAAATTTATGCAAACCATGAGTGGCTTGATCATACTGTAAACTACTTGACCTGCCCCCAATCCAACTTTTGTGGTTGGTGAAATGCCCCCACAGTCTATTCCTTATCATGCTTTTACCTTTACCCAAGTAATGGGTAGGCTGATTTTTTTTTGCAAGTTTTCTTACATGCTCCCCAATCCATCTTTGTTGGTAGGTAACATGCCCCCTGTCCAAACTTTGGGATACTAAGTTTCCCTCTTGCTGGAGACTTTGACAAATTGTCCCGTAAAGGATCACAACGAGGTAAACCAACTTTTTTGGCTTTGAATTTGGCATGTGGTCATCATCCCAACACTGGGAAGAGTTTTTGGTAACCATTGTTGCAACATTTGCTGATTTGATGGAATGTGATAAAATATTCTTACACCTAGAATACTGCTTTTGTCTCAGCTTGCCAAGAAATGGGATGGCATGTCTCCCTGACAGCTTAACTGGACCATTATTGTCAAGCTCCCCTTTGTGCTTCTCCTTTTCAATGAACTCATAAATGAGTTGCTTAACATATTTTTCACTTTTGATTTTTCTAGAAGCATGTTTACATATACTTCCTTGTAATGGTTTCATAAGCAATCTCTCTCTTTTGCACCTTTACAAGCAATGATGTCCATTAGAAATGACACATTTGAACTGCTTGCTTCTGGAAACAATGT